AACAGTGTTTTGAGCGTAGATTGACGAGACTGGAAACAACAACTTTTAATACAAATTTACAGGGTTGCTCACTCTGGTGATACATTGGTAAGGCATACTGGATGTTTTAATAAAACATAGAAATTAGAGTAATTTAAAATTTGTTATTAAATATGGGGATAATGGAAAGTGTAAAAAAATGAGTTATTTTATTAACTCAAGTTTTTTTGTTTTTACATTACGCATATTGATGGCATTAACACTGGATTTATAGGGGTGGAAGGATGGAATTTCATGAAAGGGAGACATGAGTAATCAACAGTTATGCAGTACTAGAAAGGTTCCTAAGGAAGACCACAGCTGTAATCAGAGGAGCAATGCTGGGTTTTTTAATACTACAGTGTGTCCACAAAGTCCCTTCGGGGTTTTGAAAAATTGTGGCGCGCAAACAAATTGAGCTAGCCACATGCGGTTTGTGGCAGATTACAGTGAAACTCTGTAAGTTTATTACTGACCTCAGTAGACCTCGATGTGGGCTCCCTTGGTAGCACGTTAAGTCCGTTAACTGGTGCTCGGAACACATTGCTCTTAACATAACCCCACAGGAAAAAATCCAGTGGTGTTATGTCTGGTGAACGTGGAGGCCAAGGCATTGGACCATCTCTGCCGATCCATCTTCCTGGAAATGTCTCTTTTTTCAAGAGCAGACGATCAACATGAACACCTACCTGGACATGCTGGAACTGTACGCAGTACCTCAAATTGAGCACTTACAGCCACACATCATTCTGCAACAAGATGGTGCTCCACCTCATTGGGGTCTGCAGGTACGTGCATCTGGACGTTCTCCGTGCTACCAAGGGAGCCCACATTGAGGTTTACTGAGGTCAGTAAAAAACTTCCAGAGTTTCACTGTAATCTGCCACAAACCGCATGTGGCTAGCTCAATTTGTTTGCGCGCCACAATTTTTCAAAGCCCCAAAGGGACTTTGTGGACGCACTGTACTATTACTACCAGAACTGTGTAGACGTACTTACCTCTACTGGCAATCTTTATGTGTGTGCCTGCAACTCCACTGTGCACCTTCATATTGTCTTCCTCTGACGACAGTATCCTCTTGGGAGGCGGAGGTCCCAGAGGCTCTTCGCTCTCCCTCTTCACAATGGAGTCCTGAAGTGCCCGTGCTTGTTGTTCCCGCACTTCCAGGTTCAGGGCTTCCTTCTGCGGCTCCTGAGAGGGAGGTGCCACTGATGTGTTATTGTTACACAGGTTCCACAACGTAAGCCGGGACATGCCCAGAGCATTTAGGGCAGATTCGTGAGGTGACGTTGAGGACGGGGGTGAGCTCGATCCTTGCCTGTTACTGCTTCCATTGCCAGGAGGTGTCGAACCACCAAGTTCCTTGCGAAGAAATTTGACATAATCCACCATCATCCTGGCCTCAAACTCTGATGGAGCCATTCCAGGAATATGACCTGCAAATAATATCAATAAAAAACCAAGGTAACATTAAAATGGATCAATCAAGCTAGGAAACACTGGTGGACTCTCGAGCAAGCAGTAATGAACCAACGAGTTCCATAAAAGGTATGGAATTTCTTCTGAGCCTCTCAAAACTAACTCTGCCCCGCTGAGTTAGTTAACGGTGCACACCTCGATAAAATTCAGTTAAATTTGATACTAATGGTCTATAATAAAAGTTGTTGGGCAAAATTAATAGTCTCCTGTGTTTGTCCGCTAAAGATTAAGCTCACAACCATACAGTCATGTTTTATAAAGAAAGAAGGAAGGTTTAATGCATGTAGTAGTAAGTCCTTAAGCCCAGGCATACATACAATGGCCAGTACAAATTTCAAATTAAATGCAGTAAGACTACACATAAATCAAAAACCTGATTATAGGTTATGTTTAAACATGTTGCAGTTTGAAAAATTATGTAATAACACTTTATTTAATAACTGCATTAACAGTAAATAAAATAATGAATTATATAAATAAAGGCTCTGATATAAACATTATATAATTATGATAAAGAAATTTGGTTAAAAATTATACATCGTCATGAGAACACACAAACGTAAATAAACTGATCTGGATTTGTGAGTTTTTGGACTGTACCCATTGCCTGGGTATTCTAGAAAGCACAAACCGGATCTCTTTGTCCTCGGGTGTAAAGAGGAGGTGCACATACACACCGCCTTTGTTTGATCCTTTAGAAAGAGCTCAATCACGTGATGGTCCAATGAGTAATTGAGGTTAGTTTTCAATATGTGTGGGTTTTTTTAGAATACTACGTAGATTGGAATATACCGTCATCAGAATGCGATATAACTAATGAAGGAACTGCAATGAGTGGATAAATGAATAAACATTATCTGAACTAAGTACAGCAGAGTTCAATACAAGTCAACTGCTTACGAAGATTGGATAAAATCAGCTAACAGATGTATACAACGAATGATTCAAGTTTAAATGACAGATAGCGTTAGCAAGGCTCTGGCTTGGACAGATAGTTGGCGCTGTTCCACACTTCTGTAGCGTCCCTTTGGAAGAAGGTGGGAGGTAAGACAAGGCGATAATGGATGAGCTTCCGCTAACGAGCTTTCGGAATGATTGACACGCTGCTCTCTGTAGGCATTGTAATGAAGCTAGTGGATCAATTTTTAAGCGCACACAAACGAATTAATCACTTCTTTTACCAGCCCAAGGGATTAGTCTAAGTTTTTATACATCGAATCTATCGCGCAGAAAAGTTTAACCACAGTTTAGTTAACGGATACGTCTCATGATATGTCTTCTTGTGAATTGCTGCATATCATATCTGTAACTAATTAAGCAACCCCATGGAGAACACTCCTTGTGAAGCTGACCGTCACTTAGCTGGTCAAACATTTACTATATTCACGAGGATATGTATGAAATAAACAATATGGAAGAAGTATAAATAGAAATAAGGTGGAGTAAAGTTAGGTGAAATAAAAGTAGAACATGAGGGGAATAAAATGAAAGAAATTAACCAAGAACTGGAAGAAAAGGATGATAGGATTAAAGACAGTAGAACTAAGATGGATGGAAGAACGGCAGAGAGGGGAGTGGCAGAACTGTGGATGGATAGAGATGAATGGTTATCGTAAATCGGAAGACAACAGTGACATTAAAGTCAATAAATACACATAAGACAAGCCATAAGCTTTTGCCAAGTGTACCACGAGGCTTTGAATAGAAGAATGATTACACAAAATTATAAAGGCAAATTAAAAAATCAAATAATCGTTAATCTCACATTATTATCTGTAACTGAGTATATTAATTAAATGTCATCATCTTCCTGTTTTGCAATAATTTTATATATTACACAATAAAAATATGTGTAGTCCTATAAATGTATTTCTTTAATCTGATTTTATTATGCTGCGTAAGAAAAAAGAATCTGAAATATGCTGTGAGCACCAAAACGTTGAGAACACCAAAGGCCTAGAATTAGACGGAAAATCCACTAAAAAATTCCAGTGTGACACTTCACATGTTCTCTTCGGAAGCGTTGAGTGTTGCATACCTGCTCCCAGGGGCTGTCCATGTGGTTGTGGATGTGATGGGTGGTGATGATGATGATTTGAGTTGCCATTCATGGCAGGCCTTCCGCTTGTCACAAGGCTGAGGGGCGACATCTGTGAGGGGTGTGTGGGCGGCAGGTTAGGCAGTGGACTCCGTTGTACCATCTCTGAGTAAGTACCATAACTACTACGACGCCCCTCACGCCTGTTTCCTTCAATGGCTACCTGTAGTTCCTCAGGCGTGCTCAGTTGTCGCTTCTCGCACTCATACGGGTACAAGTACTTCATGTACCTGTCAAAAGATGGCAGGACACATATAACACGGCAGAAAGTCGTCACTTTCAAGACATGTACAGTGGCGTCAGCGGGGGAATCAGGAATGTTAAATGGCGACATACAAATTACAAACACTGACTTGATGCTATCCAAGCAGACCAAGGAGAATTATATAGAAGTGCGTCCAAAATAAACAGGGTATGACAGGACTTATATAACTTATTCATTTCTGATTTGACGACGCAGTGACTCAAGAGTACGTATGATCGGACGATGAATGAATAATAGCAACATATTGAAACGGGTGTGGTTGTGGCCAAATGTAATGTTCTTTCTCGACAGCAAATTCGCGGGACTGAGAATAACCGCGAAATACATCACTAAATATAGTTTGTTTCAGGGTCAAACCGGTTAAGTAGTGAACGATAATAACACACAAGCCGTCCACACAGGATGTATCTTGATAATGTGACAGTCACATCAGATCAAAATCTCCGCTATCATGGAACAATTATCTAAATTTTTAATAATATTTTTTACAATATACTATTTTGGCCTCTGGGTTCTTGCGTCATCATAAAGCAAAGTAAAGCTAACCCACTACACGCCTTGTAGGCGATTGGGGGGAGAGATATATAGCTCCTAGTCATTCTTAACCTCGGCACTAGAAATTGTTCTTAAGATTTTATATCGATTTCGGAGTCGGTACATTTTTACCGACTCCACGTCTTCGTCTCCGCAGCCCCGAAAAATCTTCTGCCCCCGTCTGGGATCGAACCCCTTTCGTTCCGTCTGTAGCCCGTCACTATACTGACTTTGCTACCCTGGCTCTCATAAAGAATTTAATTGAATTAAATAACAAGATAAACGTTCTGTTGCAATATTACCATTTTATTTAAATCTTCGATTACCCAATGTTAATTTAAATTATGTAGACCTATCCTACGCCACTTAAGAAGACAGGCGATGGGAAGAGTTGGTTCCAACGAGACAAAAACGTCAAATGACTGACACTCAGAGCGAAGAGACATGTGCACACATGGCACACCCGAAGGACTCCCCCCCTCCTGGTCCACGCCCTTCCACCTACGGAATTAAAAATGACTTGTGAATCACAATGAGCGTGTGCGAGTAAGAGACGGACAGTGATCTGGCCCGCTGCCTAGCAACGGGTCACAAGACCCTGGTGCTAGACCACCTTGATGATCTGTCAGCTTGCGGAAACACTGTGTCTGAGTATTAATAGACCGACACACATCATCATAATCATCATTAGCATTACAGAACATAGCGACCGAGTAGTCGGAAGGTCCCTGGTTCAAATCTCGTCGCGGAGGCTAAATATCCTGAGGTTTTTCTCAGTCCCTCCAGGAATGTTCCGGATTGGATAAATTAGGCCACGACAGCTTTCTTCTATGTTGTTTACATTCGGTGGTATAGGCCTATAGTCTGAGTAACAGATCACGAATGGGGAAAAAGCATCATCAAAACCGTATATTTTCTGATTTTATTGGCTATTGATTAAAAATTCCATCATGTAATGACAGGTAACTGAGTAAAATATTAGGAAGTTACAAAAACGGACATATGCAATATATTAACCTGATTGGGAAAAAAAACAGCTGTGGCCACGTACGTAAGTCATTCTGTTCCCTCGTCTACAAAACATGGCGTAAAAAGATGAATCATGGTGGACAAAATAAGTCTAAACTTTCAGACAAGGCCTACTTCTAACTGTTCTTAGAATAAGTAATTTAATTGTATTATTATCAACACAATTAATTGCAACTGGTGTTTAGAAGCTGGAACACCTATTTTTATATTTGAGACAAGCGAGTACACAGATTTTAATTCACGATTGTCAATAACTGTCAGACAATTTCCCAATAAATATAAGCATTAAAGCACAATGGTAAATATAAATAAAACCCATTTCGGAATTCAGTAACTCTGTATTTTGACCACAGAGTCGACAAGTTTAGCATTATCAAAATAAACAGCGATTATTTACTTAAACAACACTGACCATTTGATCTATGTAATAATGAAGTGTAGTGTTTTCTTTGCGGTACGAGCTTCGAGGGTTAACAATTTTGTACTTGCAGAACAGGAGGGGGGGGGGGGGGGACAAGTACAGTCAAGCGATGAGGACTGGTCTATGTGCTACTGACTGCGGTCATGAACTTGGGATGAGGTTCGTATAAACACTGTTCTTCGCGATGTGTGGAGTCGTTTTGATTCCGTGTTGTAACCGATTTATAGCTTTGACACTTAACGTCGCCATGATGTGTGATTTATTACGTGACTCACTCAAACTTTAGATATAAAATGTATTATCGTGTTTTCTCCTTTGGTTGTCCATTAAACTGAAGCAACCACTAAGTTTTAGGGGTCTACTTTGACCCGCATGTGGTGAGTACATTTTAAGGTTATGGATGTAACAGGTTGTAGGGTCTTTTTAAAATGTAATATCTAAGCAGGATGCTGAATTTATGATTATAACTCACGCACAAATGTAGCTGAAGCATTTCTTTCAGAAGTATCCTATTACATATTATAAAGCAGCCTTTATTCTTCTGTGTCATGGCATTTCGCCGTGTTTATAAATGCGCATAATTTTCAGCATAAATAATGATTTTATTATTAATTCCCTGCCTAAAATGCATGAAACGGATTGCGCGATGGAGTGGTCATATTTTTCCTTACGTACGAAATTTGGTGGAAAATACAAAACTGTCGGACGGATTTAATCTATGGCTGGCCGTGTACTTGAAACTCGAAACTTTACTTCTTCGACAGGTTTTAAGTCATTGTGATCCGTCCCAAGACTAAAACTTGATATAGCCTGCATTATATCGTTAAGAGGACGCCTCTATATGAAACTCAACGCGCAGAAAATAAAATGTAGACCTCATTAACTCTAAATATATTTGCGGCCTTATTATATAGCCAGCGTTTAAACAGTTATAGATCCATATGCAATTTTAGCATTTTAAATCCCAGTGGTAAATATGTGTACCATCTGCATTAATTAGATCTGTATTTTGTCCAGAATATATTTATGCTTTCGTATTTTTTTGAGATTTACAAAATAAATATTTATTATTTCCCTAAACAGCAATAACCAACTGATGTTTGTAATGGTATTGTTGTGTTTTCTTTACGGTAAGGACCGAATTCAGAGTTGACAATGTCGACGAGCAGGTTCTTGTAAATATGGTAACATGATTTCATGAAAGACGAAAGAGTTTGACGAGCTAAGCGACTATCAGGTGCTCTAGAATGATGCTGCTTTTCATGGAGTTAGTTACGTGCACTGTTAATTAGTTGTGTAAATAATACATTTGCATCTGTAGTAAATGAAGTTCGAAAAGCAATGAGTAATGTAAGCAAATTCACAAATGCATTAAGACATGTGTAGTCCAAAAAGAGTGTGCACATTTGAACTCTGTATTTCTCATAGCCATTCAATGTGCTTAGACACGCGACGACGTTCATCCAGCGCGCCCTCACACAACTTGAAGCGATTGCTAAGCAACCGATCTTAGCATTTCTGAACATATACGCCGAGACCTTTAACTTTTATGTATGCGTTTTTCTCATGCCAGATTAAACACACTAAACATAATTACTTGAACATTCAGCCAACTTTCCTGTGAAGTGTTTGGAAGAAACTTCGTTATTTGCTTTGCAAAAAAAATTTTATGGCGTTTTAAATACCAGACATTCCTCTGACAGTTGACAATGTTTGAGTTCTGCAAGGCGTGGCAGATACCATATTAACATGCAAATCCACTTATTTGAGAATGACGGTGAAGATTTTTAAGTAAAAGATGCTAAAAGGATACAGGATATTGTACGTGTCCTATGTTTATTATATAAAGATTCACGGTCTGTCTCTTTGCTTCCAAACCTTTCAACACTTTATTTGACTTGTCTCAATCAATTATTTTCTTCCACGGCGTTAAATTCCCGCCAGACGTCAAACACCTGTTGATTGTCCTTCTCGACATGTTTTCTATTCCATGACCAGATCTTTAAAATTCGTCATAATCCATACACGACCGTAAACAGTAACACCTGCCTAAAACGGAATCAGTACTGAAAATAATCCTGTCTTTATCGGACAAAAACCTTTGGAATAAAAACAAATATAAAATAATTATAATTAATGACACAAGAATGCGCCACAGAAGAATGTGAATCAAATAACATTAACATTTATACATCCCGGCTTAAGCCATTAGACTTATGTTTAAGACTGGTTCTTTCATCATTTCTTAGGCCCCCTAACCCGTTCATGTAAACATAGATTCTTGAAGTTTGTGAGTAATTTCATTTAGATATATCATTAGGACACGTTCCAGCTAATTGGTCACACAGCTATTATTGACGACACTTTGGTTCCGAAATATTTTTATCTTTCACGAATTATATTTGAAAAGTTTACAGGCGTTCGGCTATTAACCCCTCCCCCTTATGCAACTCGGTTGTTGACTCATTACTCACTACGAGAGACCACCAATGACCCCCATCCTGGGGCAACTAATTCCACTTCACACCCTCATACCCAATTTCTAAAAGATGCATTTTAATATTATTCTCCCGTCATACAATACTGTCATTGAAATGTATGCGTCTGTGTATGAAGTTCGAATCATGCAGTTCAAAATCATTAATCATACAATGTCCTACCTGAAAATCAAAGTACACGAAGCCAACAGGAACCAATGAGCCAACTTATTCCGAAAAGCCGACGGTCTCTCGGCTAATGAGAAAATTACACGGCTTTTACGGAACCCGAAAGTTAATTACAATAGTTAAAGATCCAGCCATTGGACCCTGGTCTCAAACGAAAGAATAAGTCCACAATCCCAAGTCCCATTTATTTCAAATCAATTCCAATAGTATCACTCCATCTAAGTATAGGTCTCATTTCCATTTTCCCAACGAAAATTCTGTTTAACGATACTTCTGTCTTAATCCGCTACGGTTTTCACTTAATCTTTTCTTGTATTTACGAATGTGGCCGTATAATACATCTCCACGTTTCCTCCTGTAGGCTTATAATTTTCGTGTCACAATTCCTCGCCTATTTTGTCCACATTTCAACTCTTTCTATCTGTATGAGCAGTAAAGTCTTCAAACATAGGCCGCCTACTATTAACATTAAGAATATTGCTGTCTTCCGGGTTGTTGCGCCGTGTAGTCTGGTAGAAGTATACCGACGTTTCGGAGGTCCTTGCTGACTCCATCATCAGGGCGATAAATATTCATCCAAGGCAGCAAGGGCCCCTGAAACGTCGGTATATTTCTACCAGACTACACAGCGCAACAAGCCAGAAGACAGAAACCTTCAGACTCACCGCCGTGAAAACCTCAATCCTACATATTAATATTAAGTTTTTGACGTATTACAGCTTTGTCTGATCGGGGAAAAGCCAAAGTTTTTTTTTTAATTTCTGAGATGATTCTTGAACACCCTGAACTATGCCACCGTTTGAACTGGCAAAAAGGACGGACAGTGATGTGATGATACGAATGTTCTGTTTCCAGACGCGATGTCTAACGTTTCGTTCTAAATGATGTGCGAACACCATCCTGCGATGTATTTTTTTATTTCACATACTTTCATAAGAGTTAGATCTTGCTGTCTGATGCCATCTCCATGTGTCAGGCTGCCCTTCCTTGATTTCCTTTGACGTCGCACGGAGCTCAAGAGCACCGGGTGGCTATTTCTGTTTCTCAGTGACATAATCACACACACCTAACATCCAAATGAAAAGTATTTCCTATAAAAAACACTCCCCCCCCTCCGTCATTCCTCTGCACTCAAGGAAGTGATACTTGAATCTGCCATCAATCATCCTGCCCTGTTTTAATGTCAAGTCTTTCTTATTTCTAGCTGATTAATTCATCAAGCTTGGCCAAAGTCTGGCCAGGTGAAGCTTTGGAAATAAGCCAATCTCAACAAGATGCACGGATGATAAACCAAACGGTCTATATTTCTACCCAATCACAATGTGTGACACTTCCGTTACAAGCTGGAAATAAATGTAAACGCTTCACAGACAAACTTCTGAATTGGAATACACTAAATGTCATATCGTGTTGGTGTTTTAAGGGGCCGTCGTAATAAAACGCAGAAGACAGCAGATAAAATCAGTATAATGAAAGCATAATAGAGAGGTCTTGTCGATCACTCCAACAGGGTATTTAAGCTTCTAAACTACTGAAGGGAATTCAATTAAATTTGTTTTAATCTTCTTCAATTTTTGTACAAGAAAAACCTTACTTTAGGGTCTGAGATGCACAAAACAAAAATTTGACGTCACTTATTTTGCCTTGCTACAAAAATATTTGTGCATAACTTGCTGAGATATTAAACCTTCAATTGTAACAGTTTTAAATATGACAGATATTTAACAAAATACAAATAAAACATAATTACTTGAGTTACGCGACAATAAATTTGCATCTGTAGAAACAGAACACCAGGGTTAGTGACCGGGGAACATTTTATCAAAATCTAAATTATTTTTTGAATAAATAAATAAATAACTAAGAAACAATTGCTTGTTTCCAGTATTGCTTTATTTTCCTACACAACACACATTTTTCCGAATCCCAGTGTCCTTGATGTCAGGTCATTGACTATGACTGAGAAACTGTAATTAACTCTACGCAATATAATGACGATTATAAAAAACAGCCTCTCATAGAGACCAGCTATTTAAGTTTTAGTGACTATTTATAAAAAATGACTTTTCTTTGGCACGGCTACATTCCAAAATAACTCCACAACAGAGAAAACAATAATAAATAATAATGAGGAAGAGAAGCAACGTGAATAAGTAATAAAAGTTTAATTCTTCTGACTTCCACAATGACGAAAAAGAATCAAATAAGAATTTGAAGAGTTGTCAGTAGTAATAAAAATGAATATGAAACAGTTCTTTAATCAATCGACTGTAAATAGGTGAATACTTATTTTATAGTCTTTCCCTGCGGGAGTTTGGTGTTAAAAGCTGAACCGATATTTAACGAGCTTTCGTTTTATAGGGAAATTATTGACGTCTTTAATAACAAGTATTTTGGAGACGTATGGCCCTGTTTTATTTGCGTATTAACATTAAAAATGTCTGCGATCCTTAACAGGACATAGCATTGTGTTCTGGCAAAGTAATCTTTATGTGAGGCAAAACTCCAGGAGTCCACTCAGTTTTCGTGCTAGGTTTTCGATTACCACCTACTGTAACTTAACTACGACAGACGAAGGAAATCCCAAGTTTACCTACAGTGTTGAACAAAAACCCTCCACGTGTCCCTATCCTGAACATAGTCCACATCCCAAATCCCATTTCCTTAAAAGTCTTTAAGATAGTTTTAATATTATCCTTCATTCTGCGCTCGAGTCTTCCAAGCCGTCTCTCTTCCGCGGAAAAAGTAGGTCTTTTCGTCCTAAAATCACATTGCAGTAGCCAACTTCAGCGATATACAGCGTATATCAGAAATATTTTAGTTGCTATGTTACAGGACGTATTATATGATCATTATAACTCTGCTCCGATTATAATTTACTCCGGACCTACAAAGGACCTGAGTTACGCTGAAACATGACGCAATAACATTACTTTAAATAAGGCACTTACTAGTATTATTTATAGGAGATGTTAACAGCAATTTATATTCACTTTTACTTGCATGTATCTGCTCGTAAAACAGAATTATCTCTAAGAAAGGTGGTTTAGTTTTATTTTATAGCCCTCTATGTCTACGCGGAATCAAAATCGGGCATGTTGTAAGTATTTTTTAATATCACAGAATCCACGTTAAAAGATGCGATATATAATTCTGACACATTCTACATACTCAGATGACTACGAAATTCTGTATCATGGAATCCTAAATCCATTACCGTCATCACAAAAGCCTACCACTAGACTTTATCCTCTGACACATCAATTTCAGTCAGTCCTCATGCTCGATTTTTTTCATACAACATCCTCTGACACATCAATTCCAGTTCTGTCCTCATGCTCGATTTTTTTCATACAATCCATTTTAAAATAACAACTCCGTCTGTCCATGTATCTCAAGGCCCTCCAAAAAGCATTTTAAAATAATTTTTGTTCCCCCATCCCATCTGTCCATGTATCTCAAGTTGTTAGCATCTACAAGGCCCTCCAAAAAACATTTTAAAATAATTTTTGTTCCCCCATATTACACTTTCAGTCCACCTTAACTTATGTTCTTGCAGAGCAGCGTTAAATTATCCAATTGTCAATTACTGATAAACTGTACCTATATTCGTTTTAGTAATATTAAGTCTGAAGTACAAACAATGGAGCTTCGAGTTATGTAATTTTCTCCATTCCTTTGTTTATTTGTAACCGATTATTTTTTTTCGAAAAAGCGCCCCTATTCCGTACTTGTTCCGAAATCGATTTCGGGCCGGACGACGGTTACTTGAGATTTATCGCCATTTGACTCAGCTGCCAAGGAAACGTTCAATCTTTCAAGTACTTCATAATTAATCACTCGTAATGAAACTATATACCATTTGCAACTGTATCATTATGTAGTTCTACTTCTCTTTAATAGACGGAAATTAAACACGACAAACCACAGACATTTCCATAATACCACATCAGCAAATTTCACGTATCCGATCCGACATCCACACTACGCAAATTCTTGTTCGTTGCAGTTCAACCGCTGGAACAAACCCTATCCCATTACATACTTCGTTCACACTCATTAGCTCAGTGAGTGTAATTACAAGGTTCCTGTTCCAGGGGTGTCAATTTTCATGACATGAGAGGGTGGTAACACATTCACAGAGTGATGGACTGACAATGTGCTCATGACGTTCTCAGGAATAATTACAATGCCTGACACAAGTCAAAGCGTACATATTAAGAATTCGTTTTACAAATTGTTAAAGTATTTCTATTAAAAGCATTAAACCATCTCTATTTCAAATTTTACAAATTATTCCAACTGTAAAACTTTGAAAATAGGTCTAAGTCTCTCATTTAAATTTGTGTTAATAAATACTCCAGGAATATGGAAATATTCCAACCAACTCGACTGTTCCAACTGAATTATGTTTATTCTTTCGAGTTAATATGCCATTTTAAAACAGTTTTATAAGCACGTTGGACTGTACTGGCATATCTGACTTCACTCAATATTTCATTAAGACAGAAAGGTCTTCGCTAAAGCTCCCTGAACTATAGCCTAAACTGAAATTTAATTACATTTCAGAAGTGTAAACGAAACAATAAAATAAACAAATGACATAGCAAAATTAATAATAATCTACTTTTAAGCAAGATTTAAATACGCCTACGGACAATATTTGACAGACAGTTTGCTTTTAATTCATAAAATATTCACCACTCATAAGAAATGGAAACAATTATTAGTTAATAAGATTAAAATAAATTTGACCAATATTAGCAAAATTCTACCAGTAGCATGGAGGTCAGCTTAAACAGTAGTGATAAATATTGCAAAGCGAAAATCTATTTCAATGCTGTCTTCCGGGAACAGAAATGTGAACGAGAACATTATCCTCTGTCATACTAACTCTTTGAAGCACGAAGTTCATGTAAATAGCTTAACATTAAAATATTCAGTCCGTACCGAAAAGAAAACACAACATTCCTCTATTACAAACACAACTGGTAAATGCTGTTTAGGGAAATAATCGCTGTTTACAGTTAGAATCATACGAAACACATAAATACACTCAACAGGTAAAATGCACAGTTACTGAAAGTTAAAACAGATATATGCAGACGTTTCGAGGACAGAGATGGTACTCGAAACGTCGGCGATTAATCACCATCTAACACGGCTGATAGCCCGAGAAGACTATTAATTAAAACAGGTACTTCATATTGTTATCGCTACGACTTCAACAATTTCTTTGGAAATATTAAATTGATTGTACAGATCCTTCTACTTACTGTGTCCTTAGAGTGAAAGCGGCTGATGTGATGGATGAAGGAAGATGCAGTCCTTTGATGATTTCTTGCCATAGCTTCTTGTTGATGACGTCAACGAGACCGCCACGGGCAATGACTAGATTGTACAGCTCATATAGATCTAAGACGGACTTCGCCATTATGGGCAACCGATTGATAGGCGTCCCTGCGCAAACAAGAACAAATGGTCAAGTTAAACTGCGCCTATTTCTTGCCAAGAATTTATGTCCAATATACCAACTCTCGACAACAAATCACGCAGTTCTTAAAACGACAGAACCTATGAAAAACTACAATGAAGGTTACACTTATAGATACATTATTTAAAAATATATCGACACTTTTAATTGGAATAAATTTCAGCGTTTACAGCATATAACAGAAATTACAATCACGTACTGAAGTATCCACATATTCTTATGATCATGAAGCCCGGGCGAGAATGCGCTTGTATCTTCCTTATTAATTAACAAGGCAAGAACCGTTATTAGTTGCTTTCTTAAGCATGCGCATTTAGGTTAAGTTGGTGACAGGACAAGCTGTCGCGAAGTACCGTAATCATTAACGCATAACATAAGTCTCTAGAAGGACGTAGTTTCTTTGCATTTGCATATGATATTCAGTATATGGTACGAGAATTTGTAAAAAAAAAAAATTAGGAGACATAACATTAGAACAACAAAGAAATAGATGATAGTCAAATTTAAATTCAATCCTCCCCTATACTACATATAAATGCTATATAACATTTTGTTTTATGACCTGTTGAGTCCAAGAACAAGTATCTTGCAAGGAATAAAAAAAGTTGCGTCACCATTTTAATAGTATTTTCCATTAGCCCTCTAAAACCTAATGGTTACTACATGTACCACCCATGTCAATATTCAATAACTTACATTTTGTCTGGTTTTCCTCATTCCCTCCATGCAAATTTTGTAATAGTACCTTAAATGAGGCCACAACCGTTTTCTTCCACATCCTTTTGAATTCATTATTCACTATCATCTTCTCATTCATGCTACTGAAAAAGCATCGTTAAATAAACTATAAATAAATATTTAAATTTTGTCCACATAGGGCATTTTTATTTCGTAAGATTCTCAGAATTGACAAAGATTATTTCGCTAAAGAGCGTTAACTAATTTGAACTTTGTAATGAAGACGAGTTAGGTTTTGTTTCCATAAGATATACCCTTTTAAATATTATTTAAATGACCTGTATAATAAGACAGCCAATCTAGTCCACCTTGCTCTAAACCTTAATTTAGGTCTATCAAGAAACTCAGTCTTAGCCTTCTCTGTATGGTGATTAGCCTAATACTTAACCTCACATGATGTTCTACAACCGCCAGCGTGCCTAATTACATCCTCTGGCCTTTATAGTTCACACTACCAGTAAGTCCCGCCTCTAAATTTACAAAGCACCATCATAATTCCATATACCAATTCAGAATGGAAAGGAAATCAAGTTAAACGCAAGGTTAAATGAACTGTCTGGTGGGGAAGAAAAAGGAGGGGTAAACCGAAATTACGACCTTCAAATATCAGTGTCGTGTATATACCGAAACCTAATTTATCCCTTGATGTTCTCCGAGTTATTTTATGATAGTTTTTGTCCTGTGTCTTTGTATTTTAGTATCTAAGTTAATAAGAATTTTGGTGACCTGATACCTCTATTTAAAATTCAATCGTGAACTTTAGAAAATAGTGTAAAACTATAATCTCTTTTCATAAATTATGGTCATGTTATGTAAATACACAACTGCCGTATGCACAGAACTTAATACGATTTCTTAAGATATATTTCATGTGTGAATTTTATTGATATTCAAATAAATAATGTACTTACTCACATTCACAAAACATGCTAATGTAAAAGTCACAAATTATAAAATGTATCTTCAATTCTTTTTTGGTTTTTTGTTAAGTGATCAGTTTAAATTTCATCACTTAGTCTAAGTGGTAAGGAAGTCACATGTTTATGGCAAGTTTATCCAGTTATTGTATCAGAATGATAAGTTTATCTAGAACATGGACTTATTGACAGAAAACATTTTCAACTGGAGTCACAGTTGACCTTTTGAAGCACGAACCTCATCTAAATAATATTTAAGAATTCAGTCCATACTGCAAATAAAACACATTTCACAATTTCAAAAAATAACTGGTTAATGCTGCTTAAGGGAATAATCGCTGTTTACAGCGAGAATTATATTAAACCCATAAATAAACGCTGTGAGCAAAATGCACTTTCATTGATCTTAAAGAAGGTGGTACATATAATTACCACCGGGCTTTGAAATGTTAAGACTAGCTACTGGTTGTTTGAAAAAGTAAGTTTCAAGACCGAAATACAAAAATAAATATTTTACTAAGGCAACACAACACAGTATTCAAACCGAGTTTGTGTTTTGAAAACTAAACATGGACTTATGAGAAAGAATGACAAAAGAATAATGCGAACTGTACACACGAGATGTCTCAGATAGCTACTGGCATTACAAAACTTTAGACTAAAAAAATGAAAACAAGAGAGGAGCAGAATCCGAAGTACAAATACAGTCAACGACATAGAATTATCAGGATCCAGAAAGAAACACGTAAGACAATATCACACGCAAAAAACACATTACAGCATTGGGCCCACTATTTTGGACATTGTCCATTGCTTAATGTATATATATGACGTTTCGAGAGTTGGCCCTTCTCCCGTCTCCAGGTGGCTAATCGACATTACACTGATATTCTTCTTAAGATAGGAAGCGATGTTTGTGATTACACTCGGGACTCTTTTCAACACCACGTCAATTAAATAAAGACCAGAGTTCTGTGGTAACGAGCATCACCAATACAGTAATTGTATAATGAATCAATCACGGCACAAAATCTTTCAGAGAATCAGTCAAAAATATTTTACATCTAGGTCATGAAATTTAAACCAAGCAGTTTTGATGCAAGAGGGAAATTTACGTCCTTTACACAAAGTGTACAAACACAGACCGCGAAAGATGTTTTTGTACTGCCGGCAGACCTTCAGAGCGTTTGCATCTTCAATCTACTCGAAAGATTTAGACGAAATTTTGTTTTGCGTTAACAGTAAGGAGACAAACATTTCACTATACAAAATTTAAAAAGCCTTATGTAAAAGCAAGCTCACGGATCTAAAAAGGTGGTTTCTATTTACTTTATATGATTACTAAATATACAATTAGTAATTACTATATAAATCGCATTTAAATTATTCATCACTGCAGTGTGTAGTCGACGAAATACTGCATAAGGAAAAAGTAATTTATTGTAAGATGATTTGTAAGTGGTGTGTGTGTGTGTGTATTGCTGATTAGCACTTATTAACAATAGGTCGTCATCTCGAAATTAATACTATTGAGACACACAAATGACACAACATTGCAAAGAACACAAATTATTGACTTTCACAAATACGTGCCCATAATAATGCGCGACAAAATTACGTTAATACTTTTAATCGGAAAAGACTTCAGTTATAAAATCACAAAATCTTCCTTGTACCTGAGCACTACGTCATGAAGCCATAATGGCAATGCTCGATACATTCCTAACCACAGCACTGGATACACATTAGTGGTGAGCTCAAAGCTGTAGCCGTCTTATTCAGAGGAAAAGCGACACTGAAAACTAAGGATGCTGGAGTCAGGGGGGAAGCATAACCTGTCTGTATGTTACAGAAGAAAACCTGACCTCTTCCGGGAATCGAATTAAGGTCGTCGATATCGAAGCCAGTCATTTTACTGACTGAGTAGTTCCGACTTAAAGCGATACGAAGTAAAGTAAGGGCAAGAGAGAAACGTAGGCAATCTTACAAACATCGAAATGGGAAGGAACACAAAATAACCAATGAAACCAATAAAATAAGAGCACAGTTGCGAAGAGGCTGAGAACGTTTAGACAACTTTCTTCAGGAAGACGCCTGTTAATGTGGTACTGAAAGATTTAACGTTTCTCACAGCTTACACCGTACGTTTCGGCAAGGATTAGAATATCAGTGTTCAACAACATACCACACATTCTGCAGTGTTTGTATTAGGTACTCATTTTTTTTAGTTTAACGGCGCCCTCGTCTTCCGTCACTGTCCAAGTAGTGTAAATGTCACAATTTTACAACTGACATTCGTGTAACTCTCTCACTATTACGAAATACTGACAAAGCACGTAAAGTTAACGATTTGATGAAGGTCGTCTTAAAATTTCAATTAAAACTGCCACTGGTCACCACGCCCATGCCAGCTCAGGGACTCAACTCGTTATATTTCCCAATGAGCATGGAATCTCTTTCCACGGGGATAAAGCGGCTCAAATGTTACTAATCACCTCTGTCTATTTCCAAGGTCACAAGTAAGTAGACGAATTATAAATAACAAAATTAATATTATTAAATACTTTTGTTAGTCCGTCAGTCAGTGAAGGAAGCGGTCCCGAGATTTACCTGGGAGGCTGAATAAAACCATGAAATTCTCAGTCAAGACAGCCGATTTCCGGGCCAAAATTTGAACCCGTGACCTCTCAAGTACGAAGGAATGCTAACCAATTGGGCGCGACATTCGGTGCAATCATTAATTGTCACTCATTTTATGCGCGTGTGTATGTCTGAGAAATTCAACACTTTTTAAACCGATTATTTCAATGCTAAGAATTACCACATTCATGAACAGAAGCATTTCATTCCAGAACTGCATACCTCCTCATGAACAAATGCGAAGGATGACAAGACTTGTTGCACAACATGGATTACAGTATCTTTAGTTTAAAGTTAAGTTTATAAAAAGTACCTCCTTCATCTGCAACTTTACCTATGAATGAAAACTGGTAGCCCCAATTTGTAGCACGCATACGTAATCCTTTAAAACCTAGTGGTAACTGTATGTATCACCTATGTCAACTCTGTGTGTTGTGTTTCAAAATAACGTCAGTAAAAACTGTGATTTTCCCAAACAACATTAACCAATTGATCTTTCAATAAAGATTAGTTATGTTTTCTTTGCGGTAAGAACTGGATTTTAAAAGTAAGAAGATAAATCTCGGGCTTAAAAGGTATTAAAACAAATTTCAATGTTCCTTTTCTTCAAGATGGTGCTCAGAAGTAGTCGTTGTTGGACTTATCGAATATCGCTTTAAATACCAAACGTC